GCTGCTAAGTCACACTGCTGTCAATGACTGCTTACAGTTCTAACTATGCTCTGGTGGCATAAACTGCACCACAGCCTGTCTGAGGCAGTTCTGCTATCTCCAACTGAATGGATTCATAGTGTTCTGGTCTGTTGTTCAATGAATATTAAACAAGTCCTCTATGCCCAAGAGCTGCCTGCAGCCCAGAACGCTTTTTTACAGATTTTTACAGAGATTCAGAATGATTTTTATGGCTGGCTTTTTTTAGATTTTGTTGTTCCTTTTTCTCTCATCTCAGAGCAGACACACTGGAGTTGCGAGGGGCACCAGTAGCAGGCTTCTCTGAGTGATGTTTTAGTCCAGGCCCCGGGTTGGTGGGAAAGGCTATCCACAAATGCATTAAAAAAGGAATTTGTTTAGGATGATCATGATAGGAATTACCTGAGGATCAAACCAATGGGAATGTGTAAGTTGCAATTTGGATGTGGGGAGGCTGCAAGATGGAAAATTATTTACATCCAGGGAAAAGTGGGGAGTAAGGAATTTAACTAAATATCGAGAGCATTTCCATCAATCTGGGATCCTGATTGAGAATTGTTCCCAAGACTGAAATCCAAGAATGCCAATTAAAAAAAATAGTTGAGGCTGGGCAAGGCTCACACCTGGATCTCTGCACCAGGGAGGCAGGTGGAAAAGCGCAAACGCCAGGCCAGCCTGGGTTATACAGGAAAGCCATGGCTTTTGGCTGCTGGAAGAAGGAAAGCAGAACAGGGAAATCATTCAGAGCAGACTGGCTCTGTAGTGGAGACTCGAGTCTGTAGCGGGGAACAGCTGGGGTCTTTTGGAGTTGACTTTATTAATATAAAACCACAACACAAGCTAATGTAGAAGTGACCAGAACCCAGAGAAACCACACCCCAAGAAAGTCCATTTCATGAGCAGGGTCTAGGCCAAACAATGCTGATACTTCCACCGTGCTTGGGCTCCAACCTCAACAACAGAAAAGATGAGCAGTCTGAGGGCTGTGGTGGGCTAAGGATGATAGACCGTGGGCTTTCTTACCATTTTCTAGATGTTCTGAAAACGTCTTGCTTTGCTTTGCTGATTGCCCTAAAGACCATTTCCAGAAATCTTGTGGATTTTGTTTTATTTATTTATTTATTTATTAATTAAGGATTTCTGCCTCCTCCCCGCAACCACTTCCCATTTGGTAAGGAATTTAACATGTGCCGGATTGTGATGCCTTCCGGCTTAAACAAAGCCTGAATACGAACATCCATGATTGTGTTTGGACCAATTGCCCCAAATCCTCACTTCATCATCCATCTGTCCATCCAATTGGTTCTGTCTCTTGAGAGAATCATGTTAAAGCTGTAGCTCACAGTAATCAGAGACAGGGCCTTTAAGAATTTAATATAAGTCAGGCTATATGGATGAGTCTGAAATCAGTGTCCTTGAAAGAAGATACCAGAACCCAGTCAGTCATATAGAAAACCATGTTACAGGGTAACCATCTAAAGTAAACAGGAGACCTCAGAAGAAATTAAAGCCAACAACTTGACCTCAGATTTCTAGTCTCAATAACATTTTGCTTTTGCTGGGGACAGAACCCAGGGCCTTGAGCTACATCCCAGCCTACTGTTCATTGTTTGAGTCACGTGGTTTGTGATACTGTTATGACAGCCCTAGCAAACTATGTGCAGAATATTCTGACATCCTTGGGAGTGAGTGTCCATGTCTGGAAAACCTATGTATCTGGGAAACACCATGCAAGAAAAATCCATGGAAGCCAGAGTCAACAGCTCTACAGAGGACTTGGATCTGGAACATGTATACACTTGTTTACCAAATTCCCCAAAGTTAAGAGTAGGCATTTTTATTATTTTTACTTCATGTGCATTGGTGTTTTGCCTGCATGTATGTCTCTATGAAGATGGTGGAGGCCCTGGAACTGGAGTAACAGACAGGTGTGTGCATAAGGCCCTACACTGATTACCAGCACAGCTAAAGAACTGCAGGGAAATACTGAATACATGGGGTTTATGCTATTATATGTACATGTATCTAAGAAGCTAAGTAACAAATTTAATTATGCTTCTTACTATAGTTTCTTGGGATGCTAGTTAGATAGAAATACATTTGGTCAGAGATCAACAGCTCACCAAATCAGGCTTACAGTTGCAAATATAAAACTAATATGCGTAGAAATGTACCACTTCTGAATGTAGCTGAATATAAAACGACTCAAGATAAATTTTACTTGAAAACAAGATTCTTTTGTTAATGAAATTCAACATACACACATATGGGAGTTTCATAGTAAACTTAGTCCATGGTATTTTGCGTTCTTCCTAAGAGTCTTAATGGATAAAATACCCTTCTGATTTAAGCAACATACAGACTGGATTATAGCCTTTAGTTGGATATAGTAATTTCTTAAAATCCCACTAAAGTGTATCACAGAAACGCATAAATCCTAAGAGTACAAAGATGTATTGTCAGAAGTAAATTCTTAGGCAAATGATACACAAGTGAAGATCCAAACCACTAATTAGTCAGACACCGGAAACCTCTCCCCTTAAACTTGTAATACTCGTTTGCCAAGGAAACTCCAAGGTCTCGTTTCTGAACCTGATGCAAACGCGTACTCAAGTTGCGTCATTTGTGCGTGGCTTCCTCTGACTGGCTGGCATCCCATCTGTGAGACTCTTCCATGTAATATATAGAATTTATTTATAGCACAGTACAGTTCCATATGTACATATCCTATCATCCCTTCATCTCTATAAAGTGTTCCTCTGCCAACATTTATTCAACATCAGCTTTCTTATGGTTAAAGACAACCTCTATAAATAGATTAGAACTTGATACTTGCATTCTCCCATGATCAAGAATTCTGCAAATTCCATAACCTTAGGCAATGGCACAGGTGCTGATTTAATCTCACAGGGGGCAGTTTCTTCCAGAAAGAACGATTAAAACATCTTCACAGAACTTTAGTCATTCTTTTCCTGGCTAATTAGACTGGTGGACTTGGGAATTCTACGCTGAAAGCCAGTGGTTCAGAAATGCATTAGGTTCCATGAAACCACTAATCTTATCACTTTAATCTAAAAAAGGACGACAAATTCCCATTGGTTTAAAGACAATAGAAAAAAAAACCGCATGATGTAGGAACATCATGCAACAACGAGTGCTTAGAAGTGCATCATTGTTACAGGGCTATATAGCACAACTAGCTGGCTGGCTGGCAGCTTCATCTATACGTACTCTAACAGAACACTGACCGCTATCATCCAGCTTTGGAACTTTAAAGGCAGAAATTTAAAGGTATTTGATATATAGTCAGTCAGATGTCTCTGCAGCCACTTACAGTATATCCTCCCAAGCCACACGCCTTTAACACCTACTATCCCAGCACCTAACTCAACTGCTGGCAGAAGTAATCTACAGTACCCCAAGTAATTCCACTCAACTACACCCACTGTGATTCACAAGTTGAAATCCAAATCCCCAAATTTCAGACGATGACTGTATCCAGAGACAGACTTTATTGTGAGTAAAGGGACATTGTGTGGCTGGGCCTTAATTATGCCTGTCCTGTGGTTGTTTTACATCTCCACACGGAATCCAGGAGATACTTCTATCTCTGCCTCTCTTGCACCAAGACTACAGGTGTGTGTTGCTACACCCAGCTTGTTGGCCTTAGAAGAGATCACAACACAGACACAAATGGAAAGAAGACCACAAGAAGGGACACAAAGACCACAGAACTTACACAGCAAGAAAATTAGTACCAGGAAGAAATAAAAACTGTACAGGAAGAGAAAGTGTCAAATTCTCATCAGAAGTTGAAAAAACAATTTGAATTTCTAGGTCCTACAACTGTGAGGGATGGGTTTTTTAAAGAGCACGGTTTCCTTAAATTTTTATACCAAACTACATTGTCAATTTAAATTTTTTTAGCCTTCAGCAAAATTCTCCTGGCACCCTGTTCACTATCCTCTTGGCTGTCCTAGAACTCACTCAGTAGCCCAAGCTGGCCTTGAACTCACAGAGATCTGCCCGTCTCTGCCTCCAGAGTGCTTGGTGGGTTAAAGGCATGCACCATGACTGCCCTGCTCTGTGTCTTTTACATTGGATTTGGTAGTTTTCAGAACTGTCCCCCAGCCCCAGCACTGCAGACCTTCACGATCGTGTTCTTAGCAGTGCTTGGGAAAATAAAACCGCAACACTTGCATGGTGCATGCAGCAGGTGGTACTGAAAGGCAGTAAGGAGAACTGGGATTGATGGAAAAGTGAAGTGCGGACTCTTAGTCCTCTCATGCTCAAAAGTGGCATGGTTCCTGGTAGCAGCTGTGTATGCATTTCACAGTCGAACAAACTGATCAAAGTTTCACTTGGTTGTAGGGCTATCTTTCTTTTTAAAACAAATACGACCTCTCTGGCTGAAATACTTATGTAGTAACACTTAAGAAAATAATAAATCCTGTGGGCAAGCCAAGAATGAGTAGCAGTATATAACATCTCCACTTCCTAGAGATCTTTGAGTAAAAGAGTGAAGTAGACCTACTACTCCTGAACTGCAACAATACAGAAAGGAGCAGCAAAGGGCTTGCCTACAGAAAAGCAGTGCGGCCGGCCACAGTAACTGTTGTTAACCTTTAACTGAAAGGGCGCAAGCTCACTGAAGTCTCCAGCTGTATACAAAGGCCGGGAGGGAGGAAGGCTGTGAGCACTCTGACTTCTGTATGCAGTGGAGATCATCCCAACAAGGTGGTGCATTTTAAGATCAGAGAAGTGCTTTGCTCCTTAAAATGAGAGTTATACCTAAGGAGCAGACAATTTTATTTTTTTCTTTAAATCCCAGCTATTAAAGTTGTTTAAGTATTTGCTATCCAGCATGATAACTTGAGATGGATGGCCATGGGAAGTAAAAGAAACTATGACATCGTTAGAATTACAGGCAAGACAAGGGGAACCCAAAGCACAGACGATAACACAGAAAAATTTTAAGAGAGTACAGATGCCATGACATTTATTAAAAGGCATGCTACAATGCTATACTTGTTAGGAAAAGAGACTGAGATTCCATGTAACAGGTATCAAATATACAAACCGAAGGAAAACGGAATCAATATTGTAGTGTACAGAAGCTTGAATTAACCATGCACTACACAGTTAGAAAATATGGTTTTTAATATTTTCTCCTCTTTGCATTTATAACATAATTCACTTAGACAATCACAGAATCCTTTTCTTCCAATACCACAAACTGTATTACAAATGAAATCTGGTACTGCTGCTTATCAAAATATACAAGACAATTGCTATTTTCTATAAAACCACTTTATATGTTAACTTGTTCCCAAAACCCTTTTTTTTTTCCTTTTTGGCCTGGTTTAAAAAAATGTTGTTACAAATATTTACAGCATTTTCTTCTGTTAGATGAACATTCTCACAAACAGAAAAAGGGAATTTTATGAACAGACCATGTAAAACACTAGACAATATTAGAGGTTTTTAGCTGTGCTATTCCCCCCCCTCAAATACAGTACTGAAAATGACCATCCTTGCTGTCCACTCATTCTGTTCACAGTAAAATTCCCATTTTCTCTAAGCAGTCTATTCATCAGGAGGAAATGGAAAGTCAAGGCCGCTCTGCATGGGATCTTTCAGAAAAGAGCTCAGGGAAAATGCTTCACAGATGAGTTAAAACCAGAACAGGCAGTCTTTGGTCAGAGCAATGAGGTGAAATTTCAATGTAAAACTTGGTGTGGTCAGCAATGTTTGTAATTAGTACTTCCTGGATACGGGATGTATTTTTAAAGATCTGGGTAACAAGGAGTGGTAAGAAAAAAAGAAAGACTAGAGTATGATATTCTTTATGACACCAAAAGCAACTACGTAGAATACCTGTTCTTAGAACTACTATGAACACAACAAAACTCTGTTGGCAGCGTTAAGTGAAGTTTGCCATAAGCAGCTTTCGGGCATGACAGTTACCATCACCAAGGTCCCTGTTCTCTGGAGCATGTGCCTCAGCGTGTGACAGCTAAGGTGACCACCATCAAGACGGAAAGCAGTTTTGCGCCTGTACCATACAATGCTCTGCTTTCTGTGCGGAAGCAGACGTGCAGCTGAGCTTTTGTTTACTCAGGACTGTTTGCTTGGATGACTAGTTTGTGGGACAACATTCTCTTAAACTGTATAGTACACATTTCCTGAAAATCAAAATACCCATGCTACCTTAGGCTCAAATAGGAAGAAAAGGTCAATAAGACTACTGAAGAAGGCACATAAACTTTGGTCCTGTTTTGTTTTTCACCTTTACACCCCCCAATTGACGTTTCTGTAATTTTCTTTCTTTTTTAAAAACAATTCACAAGTACCTGTTAGGATTTGCTCTGAAAAAGACTGCAAACAGTCTTCTACTAAAACAACCCTTTAAAAACAGCTGAGTTATACTTTAAAGTTATGTACAACCTAAATTGGGTTTGTTTTAGCACAACAGTGAACAGAGTCTGGCAGTTTTCTTCTCATTGCCAGTAGATCAAGACAAAAGGAAAAGCTGAGAAAAATGCTCTCAGCACAGTCATGCTCTTGGTTTTAAAACAGCAGTACACACTGGCTTTCTAGGAGGTAATCTGGGGTTTACAAGTGGATTCACTGAGGCACAAAAGATCATTATTTCTGAGTTTGTTGTTTTCTATCCAAGAATATTTAGTGAAACTAGACAAGAAACTGCATAATATATTCATTCAAATATAAATGCTCTGTGTGATGAAATGAAGGCTTTAAAAATTGACACTTTGTAGATTCCTAATAGCTATTTGTTGGTTTTATCTTGGGGGTAGATGGGGACACAGGCTTATGTAGCAAGGCCAGGTTTCAAACACAGCATTCAGCCTCCTCCAGCTCTATGACAATAGCTGCGTGCTACCATGCCTGGCTCCTAAGGGCTAGTTCCTAACCTTCAACAGCCCTAATCACCACAGCAGGAAAGGACAAAGAAGGAATTTAAAAGATAGCAGCTAGGACTCTAAAACATTCAGTTCAAACACCGCTACAAAGAATTGCATCTAGTATTTAGTCCCAAAGATCTCATGTCATTTTATGGGGATATGGAGTAATCCTGAAACTCTAGCAAATTGTCAATTAAGAGAATACATGATTTTGTCTATTCTCATATATCACAAAACACATTTTACCAATATATGAGTTATGCAAACCCCAAAGTAAAACATCTTGCTATATAGCACTGTTTTTAAATGTGTACTGCTATTTCAAGAAGTCCTGAATTTATATATGCTTAGTTAGGATACCTTGAAAAGTGATAGGACAACACTCCCCCCATGAAGTAAATTAACTCAGCAAGGCAGTCTCAAAGATCAACAGCAAAACTAAACCACTGATAAAAGATACTGAATAAATGCATGCCAAAACAAAAATACAGATCAAAATTTTCCATCACCCCGGTATTTAAAACTATGCCAACAAAAATATGTAGATGTCTATAATTCAAACAATAAAGAGATCAATATGGACAGCATCCATATGCTACAGCTAATTTAGACACGACCGGATGACTTCAAACATGCTCTTTTAAAACAAGCATATCCTACATTCCCAAATCTTAATTTTGTTAATTTTGTCAATAAATTAAAATGTACGTAATGTGCATATGTATATATAACATTAAAAGAGTATATGTATGTATATACACTTATTTATACACACACACACACACACACGCACACATATCTACACAAATCCCTGAAAAGGATTTCAGTGTTCTCTCAATTTAAAGGCCATCCCTACTTCAGAATTACATTCAACACTATTATGATTTCCCTTCTGTTATCAGTAACTTTTGCTACACGTATGCTGGATGTTATGTCATGAATTAATAAATTACACAGTTCCCAACTCAAAATAAAGGAAGCAATCCAATTTAAAATCCTACTGAAAATTAATATAGTGTCTGTGTGAAAAGAGCAAATTCGGGGTGACAGTTCCATTTCCCCTCCTTTATTCGGTATTAAGGTGAAACATACCTCAAATGTAAGAGGGAAAACACCCAACTGGATAATTATCATGCCCATCTATTCAGCCAATAATAAGGTCACCCCATCTGAAATGTCCCAAGCTAGCATCTCTCTGTCTGTTCTACGAACTGTTGCTTCTTACTGAGGGAATTCTGATTTAAACAATCTATAATTATCTCGTTCACCTTCTATTTTCTGTAAAAATTTTCTTTTAAAAAAATGAAAAATGTATGTTCAAATTAATGGCTGAAAACAGAAGAATGAGATACTTTTTAAAAAATGAGATGATCAAATTTAAGAATATTAAAAGTGAAAAGGGGTGGACAAAATTGATCCCTTTGACAATTCTGTATTTTAGAAACCAATTAAGCATTGAAGGAATAATTAACAAAAGCAGTTTTATATTAAGAAACAATTTTACATGATATAATCACTGAAGCAACATTAACATGTACCTTACATTCAACCAAAAACGTAAGAGGGTCAGAGTATAAAAAATAACCCACTTTCTCATACTCCAAATATGTGGACATTCAGTAATGAAGTTCCATTAACAAAGATAATCAAGTCCTTGAGTGCTGAGAAAGAACCGAGTAATCCTGAGACAAATCCTAACGGGCGATAAAGGTCAGACAGATGTGAACTGAGACACAGTTCGGCAGCTCTGACTTTACAAGAAGGCTGGAGGCAACCAGCGGTCACAACAGAGGCCTACAGGTGCACACTGAGTTATTCCCAAACCACTCACCTTTCCCTAGCCCATCACTACACCAAAGCACCAAAAATTTGAATAGAAACTATTACTTATTGAAACCACTTAAAATTGCAATGAAAAAAGGGGGGAAAAACCCTTAAAATCCAAGACAAGGAAAGAAATAACAGAATGCTCACCAAGCCCACAATTTATCTTTCTAGATATTTAGATAAAACTCTAATCTATTATATCTTAAGCACATAATAAGGCACATAATAAGAAATTAAGTAAATACACAATAATTCTGAGTATTAGAGATTATAGTGGTACAAAAAACCCTTGAGATTTTTTCTAAAAGAAGACCTTACCAAAAATAACTTTTAAAAAATCTGTCAAACCATATGATAGACCTGAATATTTTCCTTAAGACTGTAAACTTTTTTTCTGAAAACAATTATAAAAAAGTAGGATTACTTTTCTTTTAAAATTTTCCAAGATCATATTACATTACTTGACAAATGTCATTTTGAAATTCAAAACATAATTTTTTTTCTAAAATGGTTCACTATTCTGATATTGTAACAGATCTAGGCTGAATTCCACTTCTGTTTCCCTGGGGACAATTGCAACACTTTGCGTTTCCAAAAAGTCTTTGAAAGAGAAGATATGCATTATTCAAAGGAGTGTCATACAGTGAAAAAAAAATCATTGAAAGAAAGCATGCATGTTTATAAACCTGCTTCCAACATAACTCCATGTGGTTATGTATAATAACTATCAATAGATGCAAATATCTGATATAATTTATAAGTGAACATCATTTTCTACAGGGAAACTGCTGAATCATAAAGTTAAAAACTTGGTTGTAAGTGGTTTAAATTACATCAAGAAATTGTAAAAGTCTGTATGCCTAAATTCCTCAAAGTACAAAGGATACTAGAAATGTCATGTAAGGCTGATCTGGACCCAAACTTAAACAAAGTCTGTCCTTTTGAAACCTAATTCAGGGAATTAAATTATTTAAAAAATATTTTCCTGATCTTTTTTCCTGAAAGTTATTTTCATAGAAACTGCAGTACAAAGGAAAAGCAAACCTTTGATCAACATTGGTGGGAAAAATTGGAGAAAAAAAGGAATATCTCTTGTTTTGAATGTACTTGAATATTAATCAAACTCCCAAAGAGTTACTTTTGTGAAAGAGGCAGAATTGGTCTTGAGCTGCTAAAGACTGTGCCTGAAGACTTTACTGAAATTATGGTCCAGTTTCAGGAGAACATTCAGAGAGCTCAGATGGTGGACTTTGAGAAGGAAACTCTGAGGTGGTGATTCTCTCCAAGATCGTGATTGTGAAGCTCAATAAGGGCCTGGATTGCTTCTTCCACAGACCCCAACTGAATGAGTGCCATCTTACGATCCTTCCTATAATGACAAGGAAAAAATAAAAAAAGTACAATTAATTTGGTTTTAAACCAAAGGACTTTGCAGAATTACTTTAAAAAGCTACAAACCATGTTAAATAATGTTAATTACTTTTGAAAGCAAAGACTTACTGAAAGAATTTAAAAGCCTTCACTGAGCATCCAGCGTCTATGAAAAGGTTCTTCAAATCATCCATTGTAACAGAAGGGCTGCAAAATATCAGAGTTATCAACTACATTAGTTCTATTAGCAGGAGAGTCACAGATGCGCTCTGATCACCATCGGATCCCTTGAGCACTTATGTTCCAACAATCTCTTTGGAGATAGCATATAAAGAAAAATAAAAAATATGTATTCTTTCAAAATGATTATTTCTCACACTATTGGCATTAGTAATTAACTCTAGTAAAGATACTTCTCCAGCTCTGGCTTACTAGCTATAGCCCAGAATTATACACTCTTTATAGCTTTCATAGTGTTTGGAAGGTATATGGGTTGGCCAGTTTCTAAGAATATTTACACCTGGGCTATTCTCCTCTCATACTGCACCAAGATGTCCTCTGTATCCCTTAGGTTAGCACAGAAATGACAATACATGCTGAGAACTGAATCCTGGGTTTTCCACATGTCAAGTACAAGCTCAACCACTGAGCTACATTCTCTGATACCTCTTTGCCTGGCATTTTGACTTCAACCTTATGAGACATACTCAGAGACCACGCAGTTGAGCCATCTCTACATTCCTAATTAACAGTGTGACAAATATTGAATACTACGCTAAGTTTGGGGGTAATGTTATACAGCAATGAATAACTAGTACAGTGGTCTATCATGTAGGCAGTACATGATGAAACGACATCACTGATTCCTCGGGGTAACAGACCTGTGCTTACACCACACTCCTTACTCATCTGTGTACCCTTTTGAATTAATTATTCCTAGTCTGAGTTCCATCAATAGACTGAAACTAATGACCTTATTCCAAAGACTATTATAAATAACTAGTAAGGGGCATAACAGTTATCAGACTAGAGCTCACAGAAAAGTGGAGTGTTACTGCTTAATGGGACGGTTTCAATTTGAATAATAAAAAGGTAATGCAGATAGGAGTGAATGGTTACACAAAAATATGCAATGTTCTAAACGTAAAGTGTGCACAGCACTATATACTGAACAGTCAAAATAATCAACATCATTATACAGATTTTAGATAAAAACAAAAAAATGGTTATGAAGATACAATGAGGTTACACATGTAAAGCACCGTGATCATGCTTAAAGAACACAGAATATGGAGAAAATTCAGAAATACCAGTATTATTTCTTTTTTCACTTCTAATGTCCTATGTGGGTTATAAGCAGTGACCAGCTCCTGCATAATTCTATACTTAAGGAACAGACTGGGCACAATCCTAAAAGCCAATGAGTCTCAAGTTCGAGAAGCTTTAAAAAAGAAAAAGACTGGGTGTCTAGCTCAATGGTAGAGCACTTACTAACTATACATGAGGACTGGATACAGAGATTAAAAAACAAAATTATTGGGTGGCAGTGCCGTACACCTTTGGCAGCACGCAGGAGGGAGAGACTGGCAGATCTCTGTGAGTTCGAGACCGGCCTGGTCTACAGAACGAGATCGAGAACAGGCTCCAGAGCTAGAGAAACCCTGTCTCGAAAAAAATCAAAAAAACAAAAACAAAACAAAAAAATTCACCAGCCAATTAACCAACACAGACACAGACAGATACCTAACAATAACAAGCCCATTTAGATAGGCAGGTTTCTCTCTGTAGCCCTGGCTGTCCTGGAAGCACCACCACCACACGGCAGGTATTCATTTCTTAAAGTGACTCACTCCTCCATTGCCTAGTTTGATTTTACAGCCTAACTGAGATAAAAAGTTTCTCATCAAGCCTGACTGTACACCAGCAGAGAAACTGAATAGTTAAAACTATTGAGTAATTATTTTTATTTCCTCGTTACCTCAGGTTCTTAGAATTATATTCCAAAACTTGACCCAGCCAACCCCTTGGTTTTTAAGCTGTACACACATACACACTCCCACAACTTTTCCCTTTTCATACTATTTTAAGTGATATTTTGGCATTTCACATCATGAACCCAGCACACTCACTTTCCTCGTATGTCTGTCTTCATACCCTTATGACCTGACCTCTAAAAAAGAAAGGGGGAGGGGGGTGTCCAATTTGTGTTGCCCATATATTCACTGTTGCATGGGCACACTCTGGGTAGCCATAAAGAAAACTGAGTCCTTCTCCACCAGAAGCCTTCAGTTGTGGAGAACTACACTCCAGCATCCTCATCATAATTTTTTTTAAAAATATTTTTATTTATTTATTATGTATACAATATTCTTTCTGCATATATGCCTGCAGGCCAGAAGAGGGCACCAGACCTCATTACAGATGGTTGTGAGCCACCATGTGGTTGCTGGGAATTGAACTCAGGGCCTTTGGAAGAGCAGGCAATGCTCTTACCCTGAGCAATCTCTCCAGCCCTCATCATAATTTCTTAAGCGTTCTCTTCAATGGCTTTCTATCTAGGCTGTTCCTTTTTTGGGGGGAGGGGGCAACTATAACTTTTAGCACTAGTTCCAAAACTTACTCATTCATGAATAAGTTTAAAGTTTTTAACATTCCGGAATTACAATACATTTTTTTTCTTTGAGGTCAGAGACTAGATATCTCATGCTGTGTGTGAACTACACAATCTCTGATGCAAGCACTCAACTTCTTACGTAGCTCCAAGGCAGAGATACTGTGTTAATGAGTGAGTATATTGGTTTTACATCACATTTACATCTTATGTGTCTACCAAAGGAATATCTACATATCCCCCCCCCCCCCCCCCAGACAGGGCTTCTCTGTGTAGCTTTGGAGCCTGTCCTGGAACTCGCTCTGTAGGTCACGCTGGCCTCAAACTCAGAGAACCACCATTAGGCTACATATACTTATTTTTATCCTCACTTTAAATAGAGAAGCTAGTAACTAAAATTCTTTATTTGAAAATCCTCAAGTGCTGATAATTTCACTTTTAAGGGTAGGATTAGGGGCTGGAGAGATGACTCAGAGGTTAAGAGCACTGACTGCTTTTCCAGAGGATATGGGTTCAATTCCCAGCACCCACATGGCAGTTTACAACTGTCTGTAACTCCAGTTCCAGGGAATTTGACATCTTTGTATAGACATACATGAAAGTAAAACACCAATGTACATAAAATACACAGAAATTTATAAATCTTTAAAAATGTCTTGGGGAAAAAAAGGGTATGATTAGAAATAAAGGCTCTCCACAGCATGGTGGTGTAGGGTTAAGACAGCCCCTTTAGGGGGCGGGGTTTGCCTCGGGCGAATGCCTACAGATAAATGGGCACGCCAAGGCCGCAGCTGCCATTTCCTTCCTACCTCCTGTGACAAGCGGGAACTTCGGCTCTGTGTTTATCATTAAAGTGTAAATATTCTTTAGTATCTGCATTGCATTTATTTACGCCGATACACAGTGGCACATAAAAGAAGTTGGCAATAGATGAGAACTATGGAGTTTAGAACAATTTTGTAGCTTTTGCTTTTCCCAAGACACATATTACAGATTAATCATCAAAAGAACTTATTAGATACATACGGGATGTTGGAAAGATGTAGAGTGGCTGACGGCGGGAAGATATTCTGGAAGTTCTTTGAGCCGGGCTTTTTAAAGCGATGCAGGGGACTATTGCTGAAGTCCTTAGTCAGACCTTGGTCTTCCTGTCCCTCTCTGGGGAGCTGGACTGCTTGGTGTTTGGACAGTGTAGCACGAAGTACTTTTCCATAAAGTCTCTGACCACTTAGATGGTTCATTGCTATAGAACAAGGAATAAAATGAGGAAAGTTTGAATATTGAGATTCTTAATAATATGTTACCATTTTTTTCATTTTCTCATTTATAAGTTTGAGCTCAGGGGCTGGAAAGATGGCTCATAAGTTAAGAGCACTTGCTGCTTTTCCCAAAAATAACTTCTGAGCAGAGTGCTATAAGAACATATAAGGCTTGCAAGGTAAGCAAAGCATTTTTGTAAGACATCCGAGTAGTTATAAAAAAGAATATTCTAGCTTCTCTTCAGATCATATAATTTTTCAGATTTTACAAGAAAAGTGAAGACCCATAAAGCCTCATGACAAGTAAGGTTTATTAGTTTAAAGTGAATGGGAAACCCTGGAGTCCAAACTGTAAACACTGAAAGTGTGTTATGTGTTTTAGATAATGAACTTCAGAGCTTCGAGTACAGCAGATGCAAATAAGAAGGGAAACACTATCAGAAAGTGCTGCTGCAAAACCACATCCCTCTCAGTTCCACACTGCCCACCCTTAGGGAAAATCCACATGCAAAACGGGCATCACCACGGTCAGTACCGAGCTGAGCTTGACTTGCGTCTGCCATCTGCACCAAAGCGTTTTCTTTCTTGTTAAACATGATCTTCACTCGATGGACATCACCATACACTCCTAATTAAAACACAAACCACTGCATTTACATGCCATCCCGTCCTAGTAAGTTTCACAGCTTTCTCTCTCAGGTATCTTGTCAATACATCATTCAGTATAAACCCAATGAACTGACTCCTCCTTACCTCTTCCTACAGCTAGTGTTGAACAGCCCAGGCAAAAGATAAAAGGGAGCACTATGCACACAACTGCTCCTCTCCACACCCACTTCTGACATGGTTCTTAAAATCTTTCACCTAATCGCCAGCACCTTTGGAATTTATGGCCTAAGCACCCCTCCTCATTGTCCACTTCTTCCATTCTCACAACTGTTATGAGTGTGCACTGAAAAACTACCCTAACATCTTCTAGCTCATCTCATTACATGAATTTAATTACTAGTAATTCCCAGAGTGGGTCCTCTATCACAGAAGAAAGGCAAAATAATTAATCTGGGTGTGGGAAGACAATGAAACACTACAGTTTATCACTTTTACTCTACAAAAATTAATGAGGGTCTACAATGTAAAAAGCATTCTTTCATTTTCCTCTGTCTAAAGTACTGTAATACACTGCAGTTTCCACAGTATATAAAAGCAGAGCTCTGTATAAAGGAACCTCACTATACTTGTAATTCAATAAGAAAACAGCTATGAAAATCTTCAAAGGAGCCAGGCGGTGGTGGTGCACACCTTCAATCCCAGCACTCGGGAGTCGGAGGCAGGCGGATCTCTGTGTGAGTTCGAGACCAGCCTGGTCTACAAGAGCTAGTTCCAGGACAGGCTCCAAAACCACAGAGAAACCCTGTCTCAAAAAACCAAAAAAAAAAAAAAAAAAGAAAGAAAAATCTTCAAAGGAACAAATGAGAGAGGTTACTAACACCTAAAGATAACTTTTAACCTAGAAATGGATTTAAAAATTGAAAACAACAACAAAAATCAAGTGTTCTGAATCTACTGCCCCTCTCAAAAGTAGAGGCTGAAGGAGGCATTTCTAAAAACAAAATATAGAGCTGGGCATGAAGGCACACGCTTGATCCCAGCACTGAGGAGTGGCAGAGGCAGGTGGAGCTCTGCGTTCAAGGCCAGCATGGTTTACACAGAAAATCCCAGGATAGCCAAGACTATATACAGTGAGACCCTGTCTCAAAAAAAAAAAAAAAAAAAACCCAAACAAACAAAAAAAACACAAAATCAAACACCCTGTAACCAAATAGATACATCTAATTTGTTCTTTAAGACATGGGAGACTTCACTTTTTTAATGAAGGCATATTTTACTCTTAAAGAAGACCTACTTCAGACAACAGGTCATATAAAGATACAGTGTTAATTCAATATTATACAACCATTAATTGCATGTGCTACTATTAGCAGCATTGACAGTGACTGAAGAGCATAAGTGGTCTCTTAGGTAACGGAATAATTCTAAAGCTGGACTGTGGTGATCCTGAGCAACTGTGAACACATAGTAAAAACTGGAGCTTGAAACAGTGCCTGACAACCTGAAGGTCAATCCTGAGTTTGACCTTCAGGACCCACAAGGTAGAGCCCACTCAAGCCAGGTTAGCTTCTGACATTCAAAGGCACGCCACAGCACGCACTTGCTCTGTGCTGCTTTGAATGATAATGGCCCCAATAAACTCACAGATTTGACTATTTGGTCAGATCTGACTACTTGGTCACCTGGAGTGGTACTATTTAAAAGGATTAGGAAGTGTGGCCTTGTTGGAGAAAGTTTGTCACTGGGGGTGGGCTTTAAGATTTCAAAAAGCCCATTCCAAGCCCAGATTCTCTCGCTCATCCAATTGCCTGTGGATTTAAATGGGTTAATTTTAAATGTAAGAGTGAGCTAGTAATTAGCCTGAGCTCTCAGTGTGCTTACTGAGAGCAACTGCAGGACAGGAAAGCTCCGCCAGCGACTGTTTGAGAAGGCGTGTACCCTCCACGTCTCCTTGGCTGGCTCTTCCGCATTTTTCACAAGTCAGCTAACATTTCTGCTTAGTCAGCTAGATAAATACTCCCTGCTTTATACCACCACTTACAAACTTAAGTTCCCCGATCATAATCTTTGCTCTATCTTTAGTGTCAAACATATTACTAAGTATATAAAACTAATCAACAAATATTACTGGGCTGGAGAGATGGCTCAGTGGTTAAGAGCATTGCCTGCTCTTCCAAAGGTCCTGAGTTCAATTCCCAGCAACCACATGGTGGCTCACAACCATCTGAAATGAGATCTGATGCCCTCTTCTGGCCTGCAGTCAGACACACAGACAGAATATTGTATACATAATAAATATTAAAAAAAATATTACTAAATGAATCATATGTGCTCATTTCACAGCTATAGATGACACTAAAAACAAACAAAAAAGAACTTACCAAATAGGATAAAAAGTCCATGTGGTGTGATAAACTGAAAAGATAACACAAAATATAACTAAATAGAGCCCAATTTTAAAACAAGTTTATTTACAGTGTAATAAGGACAGTTTATTCTGTTAAAGCACTGTTTTGTTTCTATATATTCTGGTGATACATTTTATTTAAAATCCTTAAAACAGATTTAAGCATTTTAACACAAACCTAGACTACATGTAAGAACCCACCATCCCACTTCTTTCTTTTTTTTTTTTTTTTTTTTTTTTTTTTTTTTTTTACCACTATACAAACGAGGACCATCCCACTTCTTGAAAGACAACTTAGACCACTTCTCAACTTACATCAGGATTGAGGTTGGTGACAAGCAGAACAGAATTCCCTGGAATGCCACTTGTCCCAGGAATGGCCATCCTTCCAGTGACAGCAGAGGAGGTGAGTGTGAGGGGACCAAGGGCTCCAGGAACAGCTGGGACAGACAGACCTTTTAAAACACAAAAATATCCTCTTACATTATAGTTATTTGGAGAATAACATTTGATAGATACAACTTAAGCAAAGTAATTGAACATTTTAAAAAAAGTATACAGATTATCATAAAGGCTATCAAAGAACAGCTTTTCTTTCCATAGTCTGTTTGAAAGATGAGTTCCTTATTTGTTGATATTATTTTTAATTAATACCATTCATATTGGCTCTACATAGTAACTGGACTCATTGGTCTTAAAAATCAATTAAGCTTCACAGAAAGCCTATCACCCAGGACCACTTTTCTATCCAGTACCTTCATGTCAAGTGGATGTAATTTTCATATTGACCACAAATAAAATCAGCTATATATTTTACCTAATTTTTATATGACACACATATGTAAATATATTACAGATATTAATATATAGTCCTTCAACCAAAGTATCAAATGTATGCTTACATGTGAAAATATTTTTAACTGTGTAAAGTGCTATATATACAGATTATAATCAACAATAAGTTTATCTTGTTTTAGAATTTTTACTGCCCAGGATATTCTTAAACTATGGCAAAGGATTATGTATCGACACTATATTTAAAACAGCACTTTCTCAGAAGTTCCACTACTTCTACCTTTGCTTTAAAAGAACTTAAGGACATAGGAACCTCTGGGACTATAAAAGGAGCTATCTATCTTACTGTACCTGGAATGAAAGCAAGGCCTCGTGTGTTAGGCACACACACCTCCTGTCTCATTTTAGCTCTTTTGGTTTAACATTTTATATATTTATCTGATTGCTCTAATTTACATCCTGCAATTAAATTGCAACTTGAAATTCACCTTATTTTGTTTGACAATATAAGAATTTTAAGACTGTGCAGATGGCATTCTCCAATTGAATGCCCTTGGAAGGGAGGGGGCGAGGGATAGGGTCACTTTATATCTCTGGCTGGCCTGGAACTCTGAGATCCTCCTACCTCAGTCTCCTGACTGCTATAAATGAAGGTGTGCAACACCACTCCTAGCTTGAATTCTTTGTACAGGAAATTTTTTCCTTCATATGATCTATTTCCCATGCCCTTCTAATTCACCTTGCAATTTTTGCTACTATGTATAAGTCAGTCATATATCCACTAAAGGTAGAACTACAGTGATGTCAGAGTCCCCTCTGTATGCAGTGATTACCATAATGAATAAAGAAACTGCTCTGGACCTAGAGCAAGGCAGAACTTAGGTAGGCAGGGAAAGCTGGGCTGAATTCTGGGAGAAAGAAGGGAGGAGTTAGAGAGAAGCCATGGAGCAGCCGCCAGAGTCAGACACGCCGAAAATTTGCCAGTAAGCCACCGCTGCATGGCAACACACAGATCAATAGAAATGGGTTAAATTAATATAATAAGAGTAAGTCAATAAGAGGCTGGAGCTAATGGACCAAGCAGTGATTTAATTAATACAGTTTCTGTGTGATTATTTCGGGTCCAAGCTAGCCGGGCGGAAGGGAACCAATAAGTGACCTCCCTCCAACACTACAGTGTGTATGTATGTGCTCTGCTTAGCTTTATAAAGCTTATCAAATTAGAAGCATTCATTGGCTTTTTCATCCCCCCCATGTAAATTATACTGTTTTAAACTTACAGTGTTGTAAATGAGAAATGTAATATGTAAAATCAGATTCATGGCATACACTTCTTAATCACAAACCTGTTTATAGACACAAAATTACCAACTATATGATCAAATAAAGTCATAATCAAAGCCAGGTGGTAGTCCACACCTTAAATCCCACTATTCAAGAGGGCAGAAGCAGGAGGATCAATGTGAGTTCAAGGCTAATCTGTCTACAGAGTGAGTTCCAGGACAGTCAGGACTAGTTCCCTTTCTTTATTCCTATTATAGGGGAAAAAAATGCATTTCTTGAAATAAATGACACTCATACCCTTCACTGATAAATACTCTTCAGAACTCATGAATGGTTAAACATTGTTGTTTACATTTTTATTGTCTATGCTGCCTTCAAAGTGTCGAAGAAACAAAGACAGTAAAAACCAGGTCTGTTCACATAACAAGCTTATCAATAAGGAAAGCAGCAGATCATATACACCATCTAGCAACCTGATAAAGGCTAGTTTAATGTAATTAATCCATAGTTATTTGTGCCAAGAGAAATTGAGTGATTTAAAACAAAATACTGAGTGCACAGTGAAACTAGAGAACTGTTTGTGAATAGAAAGATGCTTGACCATACAAGTTACTCCATGGTTGTTACACCTTAAGGCCTTTATTTTAAATTGTTCAAATTTTGGTGAGCTCCTAGAAAACAAAGAATTTCATTTAAAGAAACATCTCAAATTCAACCTGAAAGGATTCACCTGTAGCTTGAGGAAATCCAATGGTGGGGGCAAATCCAGCAGCCCCTGCATATGGAGAGGAAATTATACCTGGTGCACCTGGGAAGAAGAGAGGCTATAATAAATACAGAGAGGCTAACTATGCTTACCAACACAATATGAAATGCCTATATAAAAATACATTATAAATGGAACTGAACCATTATGGAATCATAGTTGTTCAGTAGGTAATCCGTAAAGTATAAAAGCCTTGCTATCTAGAGAGGTTGAGCCCTTTCAACTGGGTTCAAGGATGAAGAACAGAGCTTATCTATTAAGTCTGGACTAGGCTAAGATTCTGGTGTTTATCTAGAGGCATTTTTTTTTTCCTGTATGAAAAGCCATTAAGTGTTTGTTAAACTGTAATGTACTGAAGTAGTACTGGGATGATGAGAAGAAATAATGAAGCTGGACATTATGGCACAGGCTTTTAATTCCATTACTGAAGCAGGAGGGTCATGAATCTAAGGTGTGATTTTGTTTAAACAAACAAACCTGAGATAAATTTTTGTCATTGAAATGTTAAAAGATACAAGTATGAATTACAGAGATTCACATGCCGAGGGTCCTCCAGGTATATAATACAGCAAGTGGACTAAGGAAGCACCACAGAGACTTTACTAGGATGGTTCAGAGAAGACATCTCTGGAAGTTAAGGGAAAGTTTGAGCTAGACAGTATGTTACTGCAAAGTATGGTGCTGTATATTTGGACAAGCAATGCCACTCTTTCCTTAGGAAGCCTGGTGACAGTGTCAATAAAACAGGAGTCGGTTCCAAGGAAAGAATCAAGTGTGAAATGACTGTAAGATACTCAACTGGAAACAGCATGGCAAACTCGGAATTATTATAAGCAACATACAGACTTGTAATTATGCTGACTTAGCTTTGAGTGCCTACAGACGAAAGCTCCGGTTAAAAGGGCATAAGACAATAGGATGGTCAGGCCTAAGGTGAAGGGAGGAAAGTATCCTATATCCTATAGAGAAAGACAACAGCTTTAGAATGGGAAAACAGTGATCCCTGGAACCTGATGAAATACACTGAAAATGTGAGAAGGCCTTTCAACAGAAGTTACACAAGAAATAAAGAGAAGGGAACAGTTTTCAGGGACTAAAAAGAAATGAGATTGCAAAAAATCCAAGCAAAGAAGGGGCTGTTTCCATTTGTATTTCCAGATGGAATAATCTGTAAGAAATCAGCCTACGTATTTTTTCATCTTATTAAGAGATCACACAAAATCCTAAGAAAAAATGGTTGGAGACCATTAATAGTCACTTATAATAATTAAGAACAGGTAATCTGTGCTCGCTTCGGCAGCACATATACTAAAATTGGAACGATACAGAGAAGATTAGCATGGCCCCTAGGAAAAAAAAAAAAAGAACAGGTAATCTGCACGCATCTGAAAAATGTCCCATGACAGAAACTAAGCTAATACAAATTAAGACAATACCTGCTTCAAAGCCATCATGCACTATGGAAAGTTTTCCCAACTAAAGAAATACTAAGTAGCCTGGTGTGATCATTCCGCATTATATATCATGTACTTATTTACTACATTTTTTTTTTAAAAAAAAAATAGCATTAAGAGGAGGCAAGACGGTTAAGACAGTAAAGTGCTTGCCTTGTATTTGATCTCCGGAACTCACATTAAAAAGCTGAGCCCACTACCCTAAGCCCTCCAAAGACAGATAGAAACAGATACTCAGCACTGGCCAGTCAGCTTAGCTTAACTGCTGAATTTCACACCAGTGAGAGATCCTGTCTTAAAAAGAAGGTAGATGAACCGGTTGATGGTGGTGCACATCTTTAATTCCAGCACGCAAGAGGCAGAAGCAGGAGGATCTCTGTGAGTTCAAGGTCAGCCTGGTCTACAGAGTGAATTCCAGGACAGGTATAAAAGTTACACAGCGAAACAGTCTTGAAAAACCAAAAACCAAACCAAAAAGAAACAAAAACAAACAAACAAAAAACCCAAAACAACAAAATAAAAAAGGTAGATGGTGCAGATGGTGCCTCCACAGGCAAGTACATATTTGCACATGCTAGTAATGTTGGGGGTATTATTTTAAGACGTGTTACTTATGTTTATGTTGCACTTGTTGCACTCTGTGAAGCCGTGATCCTCTGCCTGTCTATAACACTTGCTAGTCTAATAAAGAGCTGAAAGGCCAATAGCAAGGCAGGAGAAAGTATAAATAGAAGAAATCTGAGCCGGGCGGTGGTGGCGCATGCCTTTAATCCCAGCACTCGGGAGGCAGAGGCAGGCGGATCTCTGTGAGTTCGAGATCAGCCTGGTCTACAAGAGCTAGTTCCAGGACAGGCTCCAAAACCACAGAGGGGGCTGGAGAGATGGCTCAGTGGTTAAGAGCACTGCCTGCTCTTCCAAAGGTCCTGAGTTCAATTCCCGGCAACCACATGGTGGCTCACAACCATCTGTAGTGAGGTCTGGTGACCTCTTCTGGCCTGCAGATATACACACAGACAGAATATTGTATACATAATAAATAAATAAATATTTAAAAAAAAAACCACAGAGAAACCCTGTCTCGAAAAACAAAACAAAACAAAAAACAAAACAAAAAAAAAAAAGAAATCTGGAAGAGAAGGAAGACTGAGAGAGGAGGAGGGCTCAGGGGACAGCTACACAGCAAGCCACAGAGTAAGAAACAAAAAAAAGGTATACAGACATAGAGAAAGATAAAAGTCCAGAGGCAAAAAGTTAGGTGGGATAATTTAAAGTCAGGAAAAGCTGGCAAGAAACAAATCAAGCTAAGGCCGGGCATTCATAAGTAAGAATAAGCCTCTGTGTATAATTCAATTAGGAGCTGGGTGGCAGGCCACTCCAAAAAGCCAAAATAGTAAAAAGAGTAAAACTACAAGTAAGTACACACACACAAATACAAGAAGTGCCATTAAAAGTTTTCATTATTGACTTGGAGAAATGGCTCAGTATATTAGTCTGACAATTTTCAAGTTTTTAGAAAAAAATAGCAATATATTATTTTTGTAACTGCAAAATTTCTAAAGTTCTATTTGGTTTAGATACTGCAGTATAGGTATTAATTTCCTTATTTTGACAAATGAATTTTATTTATGTAAGAATACTGATTGCCAAGCATGTTGGCTCAAACCAGTAATCCTGATTAGAAGGCTGAGGAAGACTGCTGTGAGCTCAAGGCGATCCTGGGCTACCCTGTCTCAAATACACAAAATACACACACACAAAGGATATCTTTGTTCTTAGTAAACATTCAGTGAATATTTAGATGTCAAGTCTATCATATTTGTAACTTATTCTCCAACTGTGTCAAATGGGAGAGAAAGCTATAAATATACATAAATACAACTGGAAATGATAAAGTAAATGAGGTGTGATGCTAACAATTGAGAAAGTTATTTGTGATATTCCTACAGCTTACGTTATTTTAAAAACAAAGCCACTTAAATTAGTATAAACTTTTAGAATATAAGTAATAATCTTTTGTTTTGAAAAAATATTTGTTTTTTGAAATAGGCCCTCTTCATGTAGCCAAGGATACCCTTGAACTCACAATCCTTGTCTCAGCCCCCTGGGTACTGGGTACATAAACTACCATACCAGCAGGTATAAGTAAATACCATTATTTAAAAGAAAAAAAAGATTTTTTTCAAGAGCACTTAATTCTGCTTAGAAATCTGCATATTTAAAATCAAGGTTACCATTAAGATAAATAATTAAAAGTAAATACGTAGCTTTTGGGTAATATTAATGTACTAATGTTAGAAAATAACATGAAACGCAATTTCATACTTCTAGGTGTTTTGTGAAGTAACAGAATTATTTCATATTAAGGTTTAATATATGGGCATATTCCTTTAGAACATATGCTTTTCTTTAGAAGTCCCAAGAGAACCCAAGAAGAAAAAGGCTAACATAAATAAGTAAAACTTGTAACTTCAGAAAATTTGCTTTGTGAATGAAAAAGGAACTACTCACCAAAAGCAGCAGCCATAGGAGGTTCAAGGGGTGGCTGACCATCACCAGTAGGAAGGTCTATGCGAGTAAAGTCTCTGCTTTTGTCATTATTATATTTCACATTAAGGCTGGTGAGTTTGGAGAAGTCAATACGCAGAGTGCAGCATGCATTATAGATATTCTGGCCATCCAAAGCCTAAAGTAGATGAGACAGGGACTGGTGTTTTGTCAAGACCACACAACTCACTGAGCAGTCTCTTCTTTGAGACAGCAGCAATCCAACATTAAGCAAAGTGCAAAGGACAAAATGCCAAAGACTTGGGAAGTTTACTTTTATTATCTGAAGTGGTCACACCAAATGAAAAAAGAAAATATAAAAGCTTGGAACTATTGCATAAAATCATAGAAACACTATCATGGCTACTTTGCCCACAGTAAATATTTAAAGGCGTTAATTTCATACTTCAATTTCATTTTAGTATAATTTATACTAAAATGAATATAAGGTATTGATGAAACACCACTGTAAATAGTATGCTAATCATAATATATAAATATATGTAAATTTGCCATTTTTTTTTGTACTTGCTTTTTTGAATAAAACACAAAGGGAGTCACTTGTGACCAAAGATCAGTAATCCGTCCCTTTACTATAATAAAATTACCAGTGGGCTACTTGTGGCTACGGTCTGCTTTCACAAATAGTCAAATTTATAAAAACAGACACAAAACCCAAAGAATATGGCAGCTGTATAATGAACAAGCAGCTGGAGGGTGCAGTAGATGAAAAGGCTGTATTTCCCAAACAACAACAAAGCAAAATTAAAGTTGACGAAGCTCTCCAAGAGCGCTGTAGCTAATGATCACGTGTTTTATTTTGTCTCATTAAAACAAAACCAAAGATTCATGCACTTAAAAAATAACATAAATAACAGCACCATATTTCTTAAGTTTTAATGTCTTTAATAATTCAGAGCTCAATAACAATGAGAGTTGAATATGGTTATAAAAGTAGTGAAATCAGGGGCTGGAGAGATGGCTCAGTGGTTAAGAGCATTGCCTGCTCTTCCAAAGGTCCGGAGTTCAATTCCCAGCAACCACATGGTGCCTCACAACCATCTGTAAAGAGGTCTGGCACCCTCTTCTGGCCTTCAGGCATACAGACAGAATATTGTATACATAATAAATAAATAAATATTTTAAAAAAAAGTAGTGAAATCAATCTCTGCCTGAATGGAGACAAGTAAATGAAACCACAAGGTCAAATATCTGCTTAGCAGTCAGATTGCATGAGGAGTGCTATGTTTAAGTACAGATTTTAAATGTGACGAACAGCAATGGGTCTCAGAGATCTGAGACATAAGACTAAAGCTGCTTCCAATGGGAAAGCAGTAAGTTTTAGCTTAGAAGGGAACAATACAGCTTACAATGATATGATCAAAAGGCAGATTTAATTAAACACAAGATAAACTGGAGCAAGTGAGATGCAAAGGTTCTTCAGATGTCTCCAAAGCAAATGACTAATAATAAAAAAGTATAATTACCATTTTGGCATAATGTGCATTCAGTGGGTCAGCATACTGAAGCAGGGCTTGAAACTGATTATTCTTTGTAAAGGTGATAATCTTCAAGACTGTGCCAAATTTAGAAAATATCTGAAAAAAAGGGTTTAAGACAATCTCTTGTTCTGTAGCTCAGTCAAGCTTCAAATTCATGATCCTCTTACCTCATCAATGAGTCATATTAATATATAAAATACAAATAATTTTCTCCACTAAAATTTCTGGGACAAAAATGTCTCAAAACAAGTATAAGATGTTAATATCTCAATACCTATGCATGATCCTGGCACACAACAGGTACTCAAACATTTAACTAAATTTTTGTTTTGATTTGTTTTGTTTTTTCGGGACAGTTTCTCTGAAGCTTTGAAGCCTGTTCTGGAACTCACTCTATAGAACAGGCTGGCCTCAAGGTCACAGAAATCCACCTGTCTCTGGATTTCTGGGATTAAAGGCACGTGCCGCCACCACCCACAATTTTATGGTATGTACAAATGGTACAATTCTAACAGAAGGATATAATAGCAATAACTGATAGTTTGATACAATGATGCTCACCAGTGTATGAATTAAAACAAGAAATCAAATGAGTCAATGATTAATTTCACCCCTGTTAAGTCACCAGCTACTTCTGGAGGCTTTTAGAGGCAGAAACAGGAGTTCAAAACCAGGCTTGATCAAATTACAAGATACTTTAAGTACTGGCAAGTTAAAGAGCAATAAAAATTTCTGCCTTTATTAAGGCAATAAACAGGCAAAGGAAACCATGTTTGGTTATATATTATAAGTATTAAAAGAAAAATAAGAGGAAGTGAGATTAAATAGAGTGCACATTAGAGCAAAATTCAAGCCAGCTCCAACTCCTCTAGCAGGGTGGTGGTTTGAGTAAGAACGGCCCCTTGAATATTTGAATGCAGTCACCAGGGAGTGGTACTACCTGAAAGGATTAAAAGGACTGAGAGGTGGGACCTTGCTGAATGAAGTGTCACTGGGGGTGGGCTTTTTTAAAAAGTCCATGCCAAGCACAGGGTCTCTCTTTTCGCCTACAGATCAGAATGTAGCTCTTAGCTACTGGTCCAGCACTTGCTTGCATGCAGCCTGGTCCACACTGATGATCAGGGGCTAAACTATAAACAAGTCCCCAATTAAATGTCTAAATGTCTTCTTTTATAAGAGTTGCTATGGTCTTGGTGGGTGAATGAGATACAGTGTTGAGGGAGCGGATTTAAAGTAATGAAGACTTTTTAAGGACAAAACATTTGAGATGACCAAATGATGGACATCCGCCAATGAACTTTGTAGAATAAGTATGACAAGCCCAAGAAACAGAAAGGGAAGTAAAGATAGGGCTAAGCGGGAGAACAGAAAACACAGAGATAGACAGAGTTCCAGAAAAGCCAAGGTGTTAAAGAATAATGTTAGGTACTGTGAGTAAGTAAATGAAGAAACACTTGTATGTGGCACCTAAGAGCTTTGGTAAACACTTCCCATTGCACTGGGAAGAAGTAAACAAGGACTTCTGTAACTAAAGACTGAGTCTTACTCCAACTGATAGTTTTGAAAATTGAAAAGTCCTGCTCACATAGGAGTCCATAATCTTCTATATGAAAAAGAAGGTCTGCTACTACTTGGGGGAAATGGTAACTAAACTATAGGTCATGACCTCATGAAACTGACTAAGGTACCTGATGGGGGTGGCAATGTTGAGTCACAGAATCAAAACTATCTTTTCTAAGATATATAAAAGCTATTACTATTACAGAAGCAAACACAAATACTCTGCTGATTGGTCACAGAGGTCATTATCTTCATGAAATAAACAGTAAAAGACCAGTTACAACTCAAGCCTCCAGTGTCTTGACTGTTAAAATGCTCCTCTTTCAATAAACAGAAAACAAATTTAATAGAATAATGAAAATAGAAAATAGAATAATGAAACCAACTACTAAACCACTTTTAGGGAGGGACACCGGTAGCTACAAACACCACTGTTTAAATTCCCTAGGAAACGCTTCCCAGGTACACTTCATTTTAAAACTGGTACTCAATTATTGAAAGGAACACATTGGTACTACTAATTCCGTATTTATGATTTATATTCATAGCGAAGAACACATTGGGAAATGAGTAAAAGTCCTAACATAAATTGAAATGCTGATGATGGAAATTAAAAGAGTATCTAAGGGCCCAGCTTATTTATAATGTTTGAGTTTAGGGAAGATGTATTTCAGTGTTTGAATATATACACACCCACCTCACAATTCTTCAGTCATATAGATTCAAAGGCACGTGTGGTAGTTTGGATGAGCATGCCCCCAAAGTCTCAGATATTTGGGTACTTGGTTCCCAGAAATTGGTATCAGGGAGTGGACTACTATGGTGACAGACCTGACCATGCTGGCTTTTTTTTTTCTTTTGTGAAAGACTTTGGGGTTCTGATTTAGAAAAGAAACTCTACACTGTTAAGTAGAGGTTAATGGGCCATTTTAGTAGATAGCTGTGCAAGCCTGGCTTACTGATAATATTGTTCCCCTCAGACCATTTTTGTGATATTTTTGGCTGAGACTGTGACCACTTTCTGCCCTTGTCCTAAAAATTTACCTGCAGCTAAATTTAAAACTAACAGACTAAATCGGTGATGTGGCTTACGCGCCTTTAATCCCAGCACTCAGGAAACAGAGGCAGGTGGATCACTGAGTTTATGGCCAGCCTAGTCTAAAGAGCTAGTTCTAGGACAGCCAAGGCCACACAAAGAAATCCTGTCTTAACAATCCCCCAAAATAATAGACTAATTTCTTTAAGGGAGGAAATTCCAAGGCAGTCTAGTATTGCCAGCTATGCGGTTATTAGTAATCACACATATGGAGATCTACAATAAGAGCAAGCAAAACAAGAAGTATAAAATGTACAGTTTGAAGAAAAAAAGAGCCTCAGGAGCAAGGCTTATGCTGAGAGATAAGATTAAAGGAGAAAGAGAAGAAAGGAAAACAAAAGTTGTTTGTAAATGTAGTTCAAGGGGGCCTAGCTTCAGCATAAAGTGAGCAGCTAAACACAGCAGTGTCATCCATGTGGTTCTGGCTTTAGAGTCGTGAAAGAGGCATGAATAAAGATTGTGGGATCTTCTTATAGAGTTTAGGAGAAACCACGGAAGCCAGGAAATGTGTGGCAGGCAGGACAGGCCCCGCACGAAGGCCCTGAGAGGGCAACAGTTGTGAACGGCACTGGAGATAGCAAGAGGTTAGACATGCTGGAGCTGTAAGATATCTGCCAAGGAAAGCTTCACATGGCGAATGAAACCAGACCAAGTAAGAGACGCACAGTTGGAGGGATGGAGTCATCTAAGTTCTCTGACACTGGACATGGAGCTATAGGATTTTTGGAATTAGTCCTCCTGGGTTTCAGTCTTACTCTGGTTTATTTTTTCCTCCCTATGCCTCCATTACTCCCTTAGGGAGTTATTCTGTGTCACTACATAATTTGTTTTCTGGTTTTACAGGGGATTAAAATTAGAGACTTTAGTCTTAAGAGACTCTGAACTTTGGACTTTTGAACACCATGCTTCAAGGTGGAAAGGCTCCACCCTAACCAGGCAGCTGCAACACTTTGTCTGGCCTAAGAGGTTCTCTTTAACTGCAAAAGACTCCACAATCCTTTTACTCAGGGGCCCTTCATAATGCTAAAGCCAGAACCCTGTGGTTAACACTGTCCTAGTCAGCTGCTTCCTCGGGATGGAGCCTGACCCACTTGAACCACATGAGACTGAAAGATTACGGGATCGTTTGATATTGGATAAAATGCATTTTACATTATAAGCCACAAGTCTATAGTGGCCAGAGTGGACTGTGTTGGTCTGAAAGACAATGGCTCTTATAGGTCCTACAGGCATTATGTTTGAGTATCCCCGTGTTGGTGAAACTGTTTGGGAATGATTAGTAGGATGGCTTTATTGGGAAAAGTATATTCAGTTTTACTCACTAAAAAATTATGTAAGTAGGTGACCCTCCATTTGTAAATTTTAAATATCACTAGTCCTATTTAGTGGATTATCTTTGATAAGACAGCTTACATCTATTAGCAAATTATCTACAAAGATTACACTGAATATAAGTGATTACCTAACAATGCATATCATATATCTGTGTATGTACTAAAGCTAACTTCCCTTCAAAATTTACACACACACACATATTTGGGGGTGGACAGGGTTTCTCTGTGTAGCTCTGGCTATCTTCAACTTACTCTGTAGGCCATGCTGGCCTCGAACTCACAGAGATACACCTGCCTCTGCCTCCTGAGTGCTGAGATTAAAGGTGTGCACCACCACTGCACTGCCAAATATTTTTATTTATGAGTGTGTATGTGCACCATGATAATAATAGACTAAGAAGCCTCTGAAACTATAAGCAAGCACCAAATCCAACATTTTCTTTTATCAAGAGTTGCCTTGGTCATGATGTCTCTTCAGAGTAATCACTCTGAAGAATAATTCCATTTTGTTGGTTTTGATGTGGGATTTTGTTATTAACAAGCCATTACATCTGGTTAAAATTAGAATTTCTCACCCACTGTTTTCCCTCCAGTGTTTGGTATCATTATCATAATTATTGGTACGAGGAACTGAACATTAAGACCGCATGCATGAAAGTTCTTCATGCCACATGGGCTCTACAATTCAGCTACATCCCAAAACTTGCCATTTGATGCATCTTTGTAAATCACAAATTCCAAACTAGGCTGGGTGTATTAACATACCGTTCAATACCAGCACTCAAGAAGCAGAGACAGCAAATATCTCTGTGAGTTTGAGACCAGACTGGTCAATAGTGAATTCCAGGATAGGGTTATAAAGGTCAATTCCCCTCTCAAACTAAATAAAGGAAGAAACTTAAAGGGGGGGGGGGGGGGGCTGTCAAAAATACCTGACACAATTTCTTCTATGCAACAGGGTGGTAAGTCTTATTATTTAAGCAGATAATGAAAAGAAAATATCAACCAAATTGGTAAGGAACAGATTTAGGGTGGGGGAGGGGGAGGAGGTTACTGTATGTAGTGTTGCTGTGCTGTAGCTCACTGTGTAGGCCAGGCTGGCCTTGAACTCAGAGAGCTGCCTGCCTCTGTCTCCCAAGTGCTGGAATTAAAAAAAAAAAACAAAAAACAAAAAACAAAAACAAAAACAAAACAAAAGGGCGGTGGTGGCGCACACCTTCAATCCCAGCATTCGGGAGGCAGAGGCATGTGGATCTCTGTGAGTTCGAGACTAGCCTGGTCTATAAGAGCTAGTTCCAGGACAGGCTCCAAAACCACAGAGAAACCCTGTCTTGAAAAACAAAAAACAAACAAACAAACAAAAAAACAACAACAACCAAGTGCTGAAATTAAAGTTCTGTGTTATCACACCCAACTTAAAAAACAGATATTAACTAAATTTAGGGAATCATAGTCGATTCTTCTTTCAGAAGAGTTTCTTCCTTACCTGATGAAGAACTTCCAAAGTGACAGGGTAAAATAGGTTTTCAATAATTATCCGGAGCACAGGACTCTGCCCAGGTAGCACTGTGCCTTCACTGGAAGGAGCTCCAGGAAGGGACAGGTTTCCTGACTGTACAGCACTGACAGCCTGCAGTGCAGCTTGGGCTCTCTAGAAAACAAGCCAAAACAAGAAAAAAGAAAAATTACCACTTTTGATCACAGAAGCAGTGAATGGATCCTGAAGCCGAGATGACATAAAACAAAAACAAACTCGTTTCCATACACTTTATCTGGATGCACATCTCCCAACTTATAGAACTTAAGTTTTCAATTTGCTTATCGGTCTTTCTTTTTTTAAAGATGGGGCTCAGGAGATGGCTTGACCAATCAAGTGCTTGTTATATGAGCATAAGGACCTGAGTTTGACCCTGAAAACTCACATGAAAAAGCCAGGAACAGTGGTGCATGCTTTTAGTCCCAGCATTATTGCTTAACAATTCAGTTCTAAACCCTTTGGATGGCTTAAAATAAGTGTAAATATGACTGGTCTGTGAGTGGGGAAAGCAGGCCTGCCACAGAATATCATCAACAAGCAGAGGAGCAAATCCATAGCCAGGGCTGCCTTGCAAAGGGAAACCAGGACCGAAAAAACAGGGAGGGAGGCAAGGGGTATAGGGGTGTGTGTAAGTACCTTCAATGTTAATGTCAGCTATCACCTGAAGAGCATGCTGGAGCTCAAGGAGTTAGAAGGGTGCCCACAACGATATAGGAAGCCAGTGCAATGAAGATGACATGAGCAGGGTGAAGAGGTCCGTGGAGAGGGCAAGAGGCTAGAATGTGATCAGGCTAACCCATCACTCAGCCTGGCATGGAGTGTTAGCGTACAAGCAAGCTTCTAATATATTTCCACTGAAATGAAATAAGGAATTCTAAAAAGCGGCTGGTTCAGAGCTGTGGCAGGAACTGCAGAAGGCAGGTGTGAAATAATTTTGATTTTGTAGTATTTTTGTTAACTTTCCAGAATGTAGAAATCAATAAAATTATAAAGGTGGTATGTCAAAAGGATACAGAAGACAACTTGAAAGGATTCCTACTGGCCCAATCCAAGAAATTTGAGCATCAAAGGTCATCCATAAAATAAACAGAAATGCTTTTAAATCCATAATGCTAACAACTGACAGTTAGTAAAGAACAACATTTATGATATCTCCAAATGCCTGTGAATGAGATATTATTTCTTCCCTCTAAGTTGGGCCCTCCATATCTGGAGGCACGACAACTAAACAAAGGAAAAAACTTCCATCTATACACACACTCCCTAGTAAAATAACAACTTTGGGGTTTCTGTTGGAATCAAGTCTTGTTATTATGTAGCTAAGGCTGGTCGGGAACTTGTCATCCTCCTTCCGGAGTGCTGGGTATTACAAGGGTGTATCAGCACACCTGGCAGAGTATTACAACTAATTACACAGTATTCACGCTGCACTGGGTATTTTAAGTAATCTAAGAGGCGATGTAAAGTATACACAGCAATGTGTGCTTATGGTACATACAGCTATTGCACCATTTTATGTAAGAGGCTTTAGCATCCTTGGACTTTAGAGTGAGAGTCCAATAACAGCTAAGCAACCTACCACCCTTCCCAAGGAATAAAAGGAGAAGTATAGGAACTCCATAGTACAGAAGTCTAGCAAACATGACTGTGTCACTTCTAGATGTATTTGGCAAAGATACATACCCTGAATTGAACCAAAAGGAAATATAAGACCAACAAAAGTTGAGAGACATTTTGGGAAATAAACTGCCTTTCATTTTCAACCATGTTAAGGACATCAGATTAAAATAAAAGAATCAGTCTAAAATGACTAGAAAGACATAAGCAAACGGAATGCATACATGAACCTAACTATACCAAGTATTATTAGGACAATGAGCAAAACACAAATGGGATCTACAGATGGCAGGAGTAATGTACCAATATTTAGTTTTTCTTTTTGGAGTCCAGAAATAGGTAGTGAACTCAAGGCCTCATGCACACCAGGCACCTGAGCCTTTTTGGGGGTACTTTTTCACTTCAAGATAAAGTCACACTAAGTTACTTGAGCTGGCATTAAAATATATGTGGGGTCTCAAAAAACCTTGAACTCATTATCCTCCTGAGTAAATGCGATTACAGGTCTGTGTCACCAACCCAAACCGGTGTTCACTACCTTATTCTAGTTGGTAGAAGAAACACCCACACCCCCATTTGTAGGAAGTATACACAAAACAGTCAATACTGAAGGACCAGGTGGGTCATACACTCACAAAAAAGGCCTGAGAAATGTATTTTTTCCATTTGTAACTCCCTCAAAACTTACACTAGTTAAAGATGAAGTGAAAGGATAGTAAGTACCACCTGCTCGATCGTATAACATTAACTGATTTAGGGCTGAACTTCTGGTATTGGAAAAAAATTGGTTTACTCTTCCCTAAGGAAGACTTTCTTTAGCTCTCAGCATTCCTTAGTGCCGTGGTTCTTGGTGCGTGATGGAGGCCTTGTGCACCTCACCCACAATGGAGACAGGGTTTTATTATACAGCCATAGTGCTGTGTGATATTAAGCTCTTTGGACTCTTTTTCAGGGCCCGCCACCCAGCTCCCACATGAATCACACATGGAGGCTTATTCTTATAAATGCCTGGCATTAGTTTGGCTTGTTGCTCGCCAGCTTTTCTTAAATTTTCCCAACTACCTTCTGCCTCTGGGCTTTTCATCTTCTTTATGTCTTACTGTCCTTCTTACTCCGTGGCTGGCAGGGTGACCGGGTGGCTGGTGCCTGATGTCCTCCTTTCCTTGTTCTCTTTTTGCCCCTTACTGCTTGCTCCTTCTCCTTGTTTCTCCTATCTATCCTCTCTGCCTTCAGGCCCACCTATCCTTGCTCTTGCCTCATTATTGGCCATTCAGTTCTTTTTTAGGACCATCAGGTGTTTTAGACAGGCAAAGACTCACAGCTTCGCAGAGTTAAAAAATAATGCAGCCTAAACAAAAGTCACACACCTTAAAATAATATTTCCCAACACACAGCTAGCCTCAAACTCAGTCTAGTGCTGAAATTACAAGTTCTTCATACTAGCCATATTTACTTAAGAATGTTAATAATTTGAAAATTGTGTGTGCATCAAAACAAAAAAATTTACAAATTAAATATGGTTTTCATTTTCATACACTATATTCAATTTCAAACTATTAGTCACAGAATTGCTAATTTAAACAATTGATGGTAGTTTTAATTTTTTGCTTATAATTTTTCTAATGTGAAATGCTTGAGTGTTTAGCTTTTTGTTACAATGAACTTTGTTAAAATTAAAAGGACATTTCTCAAATTTGGGAGCCTTTTACTTACTTTCTGTATTCTTAACTCAACAACCCCCCCCCCCCCACCTTGGTTTTTTGAGACAAGGTTTCTCCATGTAGCTTTGGAATCTGTCCTGGGACTCTGTGGAAAAGGTTAGCCTCGAACTCACAGAGATCTGCCTGTCTCTGGGATTAAAGACGTGCACCACCACCACCTGGCAGCAAATCCCATTTTTTCACACTTGTATTTGTTCTTTTTCTTTTATATTTTGATTTTTTTCAGAACAGGGTCTGGAACTCATTATGTAGAACAGGTGTTCTTGAACTCAGAGATCTGCCTGCCTTTACCTCCCATGAGCTAGAATTAAAGGCATGCACCACTCTGCCTGCCTATGAATATGCTCTTTGTCTATTTTAAACAGTTAATTCCTTCCTTACAAGTTAGAGAAAACCTCTTTTTAATATTCAGAATGCTTCATAAATCTGTATGTGTGCAGAGGCCATACAAATCTCTGCATAAATTCCAACATTAGTACACATGCTGAAGTGACCACAATCCTTTTAAAAATGCTAGTCTACAAACATTTTAATAATGGTTTTTTATATAATGCAACTTTTTTACATATCAGATAATACAAAAAACGCCCAATGTTTAGTTCCCAAAGCAACATCACCGCTAACAACAATATGTGAATTAGCCAAACATTTTGTTTCCATTATTACTTCTCAAAACTATTCTCTTATAGCTAATAGCGTGGGGTCCTAGACACCACTCCCCCAGTCTTGCTTTAAACATGACAATCTACCCCATTTACTACACTGTGAGCGTCTCAGTAAGATTTTATTAGAAAATGAGGATGGTGGTGCTTTTACAGTTTTGAAAACTAACTCAGATTCCATTTGGATCCATGCGTTTGAATTTGAATTGATGTGTATGGAGTGGAGAGTACCGATCAAAAAAGAATCAAGATTAGAATCAACAGGAAAATATTGTATGAACTGCATTCTACACACTCCACAAGAGAGACATGGAAGCTATTAATCAGTGCAATCCTACAGCCAACAGATTCTTATGATAAAGTCAGATTTTACCCTGTTCAATAAAACAGCTATCAGCCACAGTAACTGGGGAGCTGAATTTTTTAAGTAGCTAAATATAAGTCATTATTTCTGCACTGGGTGTTACAGTTCTGGAGTACCTGGGTAAAGACATTATCATAGTGGGCATTCCTCTAGTGTAAAAAAGATTAAATATCAAAAGCATGTGCAACTAAAAACAAATTTGATCTCACTTAATTCTTTACTTATGATGTCAACAATCATTCTATTAATTTTAATTCTACGTGAGTGGTCGCTACTGGTAGTTTTGCTGCTATTGATCTTCTTCACTTTTTCTCTTTGACAGAAAAATAAGAGACTCAATGGTACATACTGCCTTAGTCACTATAGAACATTCAATACATTTGCACTGGTGCTCACAGAGCACTGATTCAAGCTTTCTAAATAACTAGCAAGAAAGTGAAGACAGGCTTTTAAAGTGGGGTATGGTGGTACACACCTATAATCCTAGCACTAAGGAGACAGAGGCTGAAGTATCAAAAGCTCAAGAGATGGGGGGAAGAAGGAGCAGAAGCAAAGGAAGGAATGAAAAGATGGAGGAAAGAAAGGGGGAAGGAAGGAAAAATACTTCTGAACATAAAAACTTGAAGGGGATGACAGTGAAAAATATGATATATATATATATATATATAGGTTTTTTTCGAGACAGGGTTTCTCTGTGGTTTTGGAGCCTGTCCTGGAACTAGCTCTGTAGACCAGGCTGGTCTCAAACTCACAGAGATCCGCCTGCCTCTGCCTCCCGAGTGCTAGGATTAAAGGCGTGAGCGACCACCACCCGGCTCTGATATATATTTTTTTAATATTTATTTATTATGTATACAATATTCTGTCTATATGTCTGCAGGCCAGAAGAGGGCACCAGACCTCATTACAGATGGTTGTGAGCCATCATGTGGTTGCCGGGAATTGAACTCAGGACCTTTGGAAGAGCAGGCAATACTCTTAACCACTGAGCCATCTCTTCAGCCCAATATATTTTTATAATCATAAGATTTTGAGCTTTTTGTTTTGTACCAAGATACGGTTTCATGGTGTAGCCAAGGTCAATTTTGAATTAATCTTGCTACCCCAGTTTCTCCAGTGCTGGTTATAAATATGCATATAAATACAGACATACATATAAATTATGTAACCACACCAAGTTCTTAGTAGCAATTTTTAACTAAACAAAAACATTTAAGCAAAACAAAAAATGTTTGAAGATAAAAACACTTCTGATGTTTAAAATTATAAGGCAATAAAATTACTACTGTAGGATAAGATTTTTAGACATTTGAGCCAACAATTCTAGAATGATTGTACTATTAATATGGAAAATAGAAGCAGTATAATCAAACAAGCACAAGTACTGTGTTAAGTTTCAGTGGGGAGATTTATTTTTTATAAAGCTTAAGTGTGCCCAAGGGAACAGGGTGGCACACACTTGTAATCCCAGCACTTAGAGGCTGATAAAGGAGGACAGGAGTAGGAGGACAGCCTGACTTGGGCATCATAGTGAGTCCCTATCTTAATAAAACAAAACAAAAGTATCTGTGATGTGAAGAATACATTTCCAAAGTCAAAAACATGGACCAGCATGGAGTGAATACTCTAGTCTTTTAATTTTAATAATTATTTGAGAGAACATTTTAAAGGTAAAATCCTTACAAAATCACTTCTACAGATTCATAAACTATTTAATAAGGTCAAGAAAACCTCCAAAGGAGGTTTCAAATTTTGTACTTCACAACACAATTACATTTAATAATTATAATTTTTCTGCAAATCAAGGAGGTGGAACTACTTTATATCAATGGTTCTCATCCTTCGTAATGCTTTAATACAATTCTTCATGTTGTGAACCCCCACCATAAAATTATTTGCTACTTTATAACTGTAATTTTGTTCCCGTTATGAATCGTAGTATCTGTTTTCTGATGGTCTTAGGAAACCTCTATGAAAAGGTAGTCCGACCCATCAGAGGGTTGTGACCCACATGTTGAGAAACTTTAACTTCATAAGGACTTGAACAGTTGTCTACTGCTAAGAGTTGCATGCATGCTTTGGGGATATATCTTGATACTCAGAGAACAAAAAAAGGAAGAAATGTGAATCTATCCACTTCCTAGTTTTCAGAATAAAAACAAACAAAAAACTCAACATTTTTAAATACATGGGACAGGTACTTTCCATTTTGATTTAATGTTTGGTTAGCATTCATATTGAACATTGTACAAAAGTGAAAGTAAAAAGTGTTGGGAAGAAAGCAAGGCTATCTAAGAATAAACTGGGCCATTCGAGTGCCTGTGGTTGCCATGCAACTGGGATTTCTCACTATTTCCCTTTGGCATAATCCAATCTTTAAGTTTGTATTAAATTATCTTTTCTTCTAACAATTTAAACTAACATACTTAGGAATCAGACTACTGCAAAAACTGTATGACGTGCATGAAAAAAATGTTTAAATTCTACTCAAAGACTTTAAAAGAAAACAAACAAAGCAGAATTTTTAACAATGAAAGATCAGAAGGATATGTTAATCATTTCCAAACTTACAAAACAACCCAATTTCAATTTTTTTTTGAAAAAAAAAACAGGAGTTAACAAAATAATTATAAGGCATATAATAAGTTAATTTCTAAAGAGACAGTATATTGCTCCTGAATAGATTAAGCTATATAGTGCACATTAAGGCAGGAATGGAATTGAAAAGTCAGGTCCAAACTAGATTTGGAGTACATGCTTAGTGAGCAACATTCATGAACAAAGAATGTAACAAGTGTATATAAATGCATATTGTGAGCATGCAGGAAAAACTAAGGCAAGTTTCACAACAGTAGATTAATAAATGGGTTATTAAGTAAGTTAATTCAGAAGAAACTTATCTTGCCATAAGGAAGAATAAAGCCCCATTTTTATTCTTCAAAAAAACAAACAAAAAAACAACAGGAGAGCCAAGACTTGAATAACAAACCAGAAACTTTTGGAAGAGGGTTGAGAGATGGCTGAGCTATTTATTGAAAGCGCTTGTCACTCTTGCAAAAGACCTGGGTTGAATTTGTAGTACCCACATGATGATGGCTCACAACCATCCATAACTTAAGCTCCAAGCAACCGGATATTTTCTTCTTCTAATCTCCATGGGCACCAGACACACATGTGGTGTACATTCATACACACATTCATAAACATAAAATTAAGTATATACATTTAAAAAATATTATAAGAAATTTTGTTTTGTTTAAACCCTGGTACACTGTATTAGAGCATGGTATGTGTTGGGAGCTGTAGATCCCTGGCCCCCGACTTTCTTTGCCAGCCTCAGACCCTTTGTCTGCTGGAGTGAACTGAGCAAAACACCTGTGCCTGCAGCTGCTAGATCCCAAGAGGATGTACCCTAATTGGTTATCCAAAACCAGACGGTCAGTTCTGAAATCATATACACAGAAGCAACAGTAAACAGACTAGGTAAGTTTTAGTGTGTCTGTGTGCATCCCAGGAGGTGGCAGTACTTGCTTTACTCCCAGTGCTTGGGAGGCAGAGGCAGAAGCAGGTGATTCTCTGACTTCAAGTCCAGTATGGTTTACAGAGTTAGTTCCACAATAGCCAGAGCACACAGAGAAATCCTGTCTTGAATGGGGCGAAGGGAGGAAGTGTGCGGAGTGTGGGGTATACGTGATGGACAAAACACACTAATATATGTATAACAATAATAATTTAAAAAAAAGCAGTTGCGAATTTGAGAAGGAATGGGGAAATAGGAAGGGTTGAAGGAAGGAGAAGGAAAGAGAAAGTGATGTAATTATATTTAAATTTAAAAAGGTATTTAAAAGTTAAAATACACTTTATTAAAATGTACTTGTTTTGTAGACAAGTTTTTCATGTTAAAATAAATTTCTATTTAACTACTTAAAATGAATCTGGAAAGACACAAGTCACCATGAACTAAATCAAAAACAAATAAAAACATTATGTTGTTATATAATATTCCACATTCACTTAAGGAATCAAAACTCATTGAAAGAAAATTTCTGACCTAATTCTTTTCATCTTAAACTGTCTCCTTAACATCACAACAGGAGTATCACCCCTAGCTAGATCCTGGTAGAGTGCTTGACAAACACACAAGACCCTGGAAGGCCAATTCCAAGCTTTTACTTTCTGTCAAAACAAAGGCTAAATTTGTTTTAGCATTCCTTTGACATCTATGATTTTAGGAGATACAGAACTTTATCTATTTTTAATTGTGAAAACAGATTTGAGGGGAGAAAACGTTACTGCTTGCTCTTCTGTATCTTCCTATGTAGTCCAGTTTCCCACTGCTAGGATTACAAGAATAGGACGCCATGTATGGCCCAGTAAATGTCATTTATAATGACATAACTTCCTATGTTTCCAAATGAAACTGTTTTAAGCTTGTAATAACAAATTATATATTCAATCATAATAACGTACACTAAAATAAAGAAAAATATATGGTGGTTCTCTAACGTATAATATTTTAAGTTATTATGCCACGTTTGTATACTTATTCTTACAGATGCCTATAATACTTACAGCCTGATTAGGCAGATTGTCAGTCTTAAGTTCTCGGTGATTGGAATACTGGATATAAACAGGCTGACTTCGTAGATGAGGAGTAACAGGAGTGTAATAATTTACCATAGTAACAGCAGCTTCTTCAGAAGCCATTTCTAAAAAGGCCTGCAATGAACATAAAAGATGGTTAAGAATTATTGTATACTGGTTTAAACTCCTGCTTTCTCAGCATACATTGACGCTGTCCCCCAAGAAGATAGAATAGTCTTGGCAAAAGAATTGGCTCCAATGAAAGTTTTCAAGCCAGGTGGTGGCCACGTACACCTTTAGTCCAGCACTCAAGCAGGCATTCAAGGCCAGCCTGGTCTATAAAGTGAGTTCCAGGACAGCTAGAGCTGTTACACAGAGAAATTCTAGATTGGGGGGAGGGGTGTGTCCAAAATTACCAGTTGATTATTGTTTGGTTTTTGGTTTTCTCATTTCTATTTCTCTAAATGCCTAAAAACAGTTATAAAGTTAAAAATAAATGTTTGTGTTACCATTACAAATAAATACTTTCACGAGTTATGATTTACTGGTTTTTGTTGTTGTATTGATGCTAAAATTGGGGAATAAATTACTATAGTACAGAGAGGAGATAATAGAATTTCATTCAGTAGGGGCTAAAAAGGAGTTAAAAACAAAGATCCGAGTGTGAGTTATAGTGATATTTTCATTGTAAGCTAACAAATAAAGCTTACCTGAAGATCAGAGTGCAGAGCTAAGCCACTAGTTAGCCACAGAGGCTAGGCAGTGGTGGTTCACACCTTTAATCCCAGCCCCACAGAGGTAAGGAAGGAATATGGCTGGGCAGAGAGAGCAGTATAAAGTGGGAGGAGACAAGAGCTCAGATGCAGTCTGAGGATTCGGTAGAAGTAAGAACTCTTTAGTGGTTGACTGATCTGTTTCTCTGATCCTTCAGCTTTCACCCCCTAGTATCTGACTCCGGGTTTTTATTATTAAAGACAACTAGAATTTGCGTTACAGTGAGTGCAGTGGTGCACACCTTTAATCCCAGCACTGGGAGCAGAAGAAGTGTGAGAATCTCTGAGTTCCAGGACAGCCTGGTCCAGAGCATAGTGAGAAAAATCGGAAAGTCAGTTACAGGGAGGAAAAGGAAAACGGTGGAAAAGGACTACCCTGCCTAAATTCTTAAACAGGATCTGGGTATATGAATTTGCTCTTCTTCATTTTTATAAATTAGCCATCTACAAATGAAATGGAACATTCTTTTTCAGTTGGAGGCCCTACAATTAAACCCTGCTAACAAGGAGCCAATGTATCTGATCTGATAGCAGGGCATGAGAAATGTCAGAGCCTGAGTAAAACCTAACTGAAATCTCCACCTGCCTACAGCAACTTGGTCACGGACACCTCTGTGCTTCAGTTTTCTCTACTAAAACATGCAGCTATCTAAGCAAGCTATAACTCTTATAATTCAAACATGAAATGACTGTAGTTAGAGTGGTGTAGTACTACTTAGGTGGTCTGTCTGAGACTCTGTAGGAAAGAGCTATTAAACATCAGCCTATGAAGGCATTCCCTCAAAGTAGTAGCATACATACTCAGTTTTCTTCAAATTTTTTAATTTGATGTTTGTTTTATGTGTTTCAATTTTTTACATGTACAGGTGTTTTGTCTATGTATGTACCATATTGCATATATTTCCCAGATGCCAGAAAAAGAAGTTGGATCCCCTAGAACTGAAGGGACAGGTAGTTGTGAGCTACCATGTGGGTGATCTTCTAGAAAAGCAGCCAGTGCTCTTAACCACTGAACCACCTCTACAGCCCTCACATTCAGTTTTTCTCACTTTTCAATTATGCTTCTAACCAACACTCATTCTGTACACTTTTAAGCAAAAGCTACGTATAAATCTATATAGTCTGTTATATATATAATGTTTACACACGATGCACATGAACACTGTGTTTATACATTTGTATATTATGTACACAAATGTACACACATGCACACACACCCCTATCTGCACATAGTACTTTGAACCACTACCAGCAAAGAATAGGCCGGCGTAATACCACATTTTTAAAAACAAAATCTCTCTACTTGTGAACATTTTTCATTATACATGTGAGATAAGGTTTCCCAATTTAAGATTTCTGGTAAGAATTTCTTTAAAACTTAAAATTCCAGGCCAGAATGAGGTATCAAGTATACAACAGTAGTTAGCAAACAGCATTAAAGTACTAAAAACTTGCTACATTCCATATCCATTTATCTATCTTTGCTCCTGTGAAGAAATCTTTCAGAACATATACCTACTACCTTATCCAGTACTCTATTATCATCCATGCCTAAGCATAAACTCACATTATTTTAGGAAATGCTTCTAGGGCTTAGAAATAAGTGTTGATTCATAAAAATATAGATGTAGACACTTATAGCACATATGTAAACATAATCACATTTCACATAAGACCTGGAGATACTAGAAAATAAAATAGCTTTAAATCCTCCAAAGACTATTTAAAAAAAGCAAAGGATCAATTACTGGAGTAAAGAAATCTAGGAACTTCCTACATTAAGTCAATACTGATGCATTCACTCAAGTGACACTGGTACCTATAATCATTGTACTAATACAAGATGAGAGAAATAGCACAAGAAAGCAGAGATGGAAGAAGCTTCTTGACATTTAGATCTTATCCTATACATCGACTCTAGCTACGTAGACTTCTGTAATTTCGGTGATGGGATTAAAATGGCAATGAAACTTGGTTTTGTAGCTGTTTGAGGAGAGCAGGGTCTCTTCTACATAAACCTGTCCAATCTTTTTTGCCATTTTATTTATTTATTTATTAAAGATTTCTGTCTCTTCCCCGCCACTGCCTCCCATCTCCCTCCCCCTCCCCCAATCAAGTCCCCTTCCCTCCTCAGCCCAAAGAGCAAACAGGGTTCCCTGCCCTGTGGGAAGTCCAAGAAACCCCCACCTCCATCCAGGTCTAGTAAGTTGAGCATCCAAACTGCCTAGGCTCCTACAAAGCCAGGACGTGCAGTAGGATCAGAAACCCATTGCCATTGTTGTTGAGTTCTCAGTAGTCCTCACTGTCCCCTATGTTCAGAGAGTCCGGTTTTATCCCAGGCTTTTTCAGACCCTGGCCAGCTGGCCTTGGTGAGTTCCCAATAGAACATCCCCATTGTCTCAGTGTGTGGGTGCACCCCTTGCGGTCCTGAGTTCCTTGCTCGTGCTCTCTCTCCTTCTGCTCCTGATTTGGACCTTGAGATTTATGTCCGGTGCTCCAATGTGGGTCTCTGTCTCTGTCTCCTTTCATTGCATGATGAAGGTTAATATTCAGGAGGATGCGTATATGTTTGTCTTTGGATTCTCTTTATTTAGCTTCTCTAGCATCACTAATTATGGGCTCAATGTCCTTTGTTTATGGCTAGAAACCAAATATGAGTGAGTACATCCCATGTTCCTCTTTTTGGGTCTGGCTTACCTCACTCAAGATAAGTGTTTTCTATTTCCGTCCATTTGCATGCAAAATTCAAGAAGTCCTTGTTTTTTACTGCTGAGTAGTACTCTAATATGTATATATTCCATACTTTCTTCATCCATTCTTCCATTAAAGGGCATCTAGGTTGTTTCCAGGTTCTGGCTATTACAAACAATGCTGCTATGAACATCATAGAGCATATACTTTTGTTGTATGATAAGGCCTCTCTTGGGTATATTCCCAAGAGTGGTATTGCTGGGTCCAGGGGTACGTTGATCCCGAATTTCCTGAGAAACCGCCACACTGCTTTCAAAAGTGGTTGCACAAGTTTGCATTCCCACCAGCAATAGATGAGTGTACTCCTTTCTCCACAACCTCTCCAGCAAAGGCTATCATTGGTGTTTTTTATTTTAGCCATTCTGACAGGTGTAAGATGGTATCTTAATGTTGTCTTGATTTGCATTTCCCTGATCGCTAAGGAAGTTGAGCATGACCTTAAGTGTCTTTTGGCCATTTGAACTTCTTGTTGAGAATTCTCTGTTCAGATCAGTGCCCCATTTTTTAATTGGGTTGATTAGCTTTTGATGGTCTAGTTTCTTGAGATCTTTATATATTTTGGAGATCAGACCTTTGTCAGTTGCGGGGTTGGTGAAGATCTTCTCCCAGTCAGTGGGTTGCCTTTGTGTCTTAGCGACAGTGTCCTTTGCTTTACAGAAGCTTCTCAGTCTCAGGAGGTCCCATTTATTCAATGAGGTCCTTAATGTCTGTGCTGCTGGGGTTATACGTAGGAAGTGGTCTCCTGTGCCCATGTGCTGTAGAGTACTTCCCACTTTCTCTTCTATCAGGTTCAGTGTGTTTGGACTGATATTGAGGTCTTTAATCCATTTGGACTTGAGTTTTGCGCATGGTGATATGGATCTACTTTCATTCTTCTACAGGTTGACATCCAGTTTTGTCAGCACAATTTGTTGAAGATGCTCTCTTTTTTTTCCATTGTATACTTTTAGCTCCTTTATCGAAAATCAGGTGTTCATAGGTTTGTGCGTTAAAGCCAGGGTCTTCTATTCGATTCCATTGGTCGACTTCTGTTTTTATGCCAATACCAAGCTGTTTTCAATACTGTAGCTCTGTAGTAGAGTTTAAAGTCAGGGATGGTAATGCCTCCAGACGATCCTTTTTTGTATAAGATTGTTTTGGCTATCCTGGGTTTTTTGTTTTTCCATATAAAGTTGATTATTGTCTTCTCCAGATCTGTGAAGAATTTTGAAGGGATTTTGATGGGGATTGCATTGAATCTATAGATTGCTTTTGGTAGAATTGCCATTTTTACTATGTTGAATCTCCCAATCCAGGAGCAAGGGAGATCCTTCCATTTTCTAGTGTTCTCTTCAATTTCTTTCTTCAAAGACTTAAAGTTCTTGTCAAATAGATCTTTCACATCCTTGGTCAGAGTTACCCCAAGATATTTTATGCTATTTGTGGCTATCGTGAAAGGTGATGCTTCTCTGATTTCCCTCTCTGCTTCCTTATCCTTAGTGTATAGGAAGGCAACTGATTTTTTGGAGTTGATCTTGTATCCTGCCACATTACTAAAGGTGTTTATCAGCTGTAGGAGTTCTTTGGTAGAGTTTTTGGGGTCGCTTATGTATACTATCATATCATCTGCAA